GATGATAAGGTAGGCTGTGAGCAATGTGCATAGGTGGAGTACGCGGGGTGAAATCCCCGTCGCGTGCATGGAGCGAACAAGTGTCACCAGGGGAATAGGAGCGACATGAGATCGCCAGCTGGCGTCGGCCACGGAAGAAGTGTCTGCATTAGTGTCTTCTGACAGCACAGCACTGGATTCGCTAGTCGTATAGCCACTGCGTCTGCTGTTGCTAACAACCGTTGGCGCAAGCCCTTAGAGAAGTTGGCTGAGGTCTGGTAGACAACCTGAAAGATTTTTTTTAGGATCCATTAGATGATTCGTATTGACAAGTTGTGCGAGAATAGAACCTGAGATTGATTTACTTTCACCTTTACTTAGCCAGGTCGTTATGTGTTCACGTATCCTCTTTCCAGGCGTCTCGTTGTTCGGTCAGTGTCTCCTGCTCCACAAGAGCAGGTGAAAGAGTAAATGCACATCGATGTGGCTCTCAACGGCAGTCGGTCTTTTCCTCCCAAGCGTAGGAGGGGGAAAAGTTAGTGGAGACTACGCGCAAGTTGGCGTTAAGTTCGTGAAGTTCGATGAGTTGTAATCTTAAGACATAAACCCTGCCCAACTCTCCTTTTTTCATTATAAACGCATTGTAAATAATGAACAAAACTGATCCACTGACGTACACATGAAGAAAAATTTCTCACGCAAATGGAGGGAGCAGAAAACAAACATGACAGCTGCTCAATTTTGAAAAGCCTGCCTGTGCATGCCGCAGAAAACACATTCGCTTGTTGTCTTATTTTTTTCATTTAACTTACTACCCCTTCCACAGGGCCTTAATCAACGCGTCACTCACTTCCTCTTATTTTTACACAGGACGCCGCCATATTGGACATGGTTTTGCAGACCCTGCCGCGTATCGCGGCTGAGGTGAGCGCCCCGCTATCCCAGTGCCAGAAGGTGACCATGGTTTCCACGGGCGAGGGCGAAGTGGGCATCTCAAAGATCTCCAACGAGGTCATGAAGGTGGTGGAGAGTTTGCCGGCACTGGTCACCTCAGTAACTGGCCAAGACATGCGCTCCTTCATTACGGCCAAGTAATTGTGCTGCATCCCTCCCTCTTTCCCCTCCTAGGATATTTCCTCCGCCTGCCTCAATATTCGTTTCCACGACTACGACCACTACACATTCTGCTTTTCTATGGAGCTTTTCCGGGGTCGTTGTGCTCCCTCTATTCTTTCGACTTCCCCCTCCCCCTGCCGGGCTTTTCGTGCGATTTCAATACAGCTCGCTCCACTGTGTACCACCCACGTATGCGTTTTGTCTTTTGTGATAATCTCTGCTTCGAATACTCTCTTGCTTAATTTTTTTCCTTTATGTCGCAGTTTCCTAACAGCTTTTTGCCTTTAACCAATTTACACACAATCTTTTCCAATATATATCGGCTTAATAGTTGTTCATAGATCAGCTTGTGTGTATGTGTACACATTGACGAGTAGGATCCCCAACTGGACCGATCGCGCTAGAACAGGGATGCCGGAGAGAAGAGGGGGAGGGGATTTTAAAGTCGGATATTTGCATGCCTGGTTGAAAGGGTGTAAACGTGTCGGGAATGCGTCCATTCCCACGATGGGTCAGCACCCACGAAGGTGGTAGTCAGCTGCCTCACTGTCTGGCTAGCAATGTCTCCTCAATTCTGATTGGTCCACGTCCGATTGGACAGTGTCTAGACGCGGGCCATTAATACGCGTAGCCCCTGTGGGACAATGACTTGCTCTAACTTGCTTTGCGTGAATATACGCTGCTCGTGGTTGCTCGTATGCTCTTTCTTCTCTTGTTCGGACCTTGGGTACAGCGGTCGGGCTAGCTCACTGTTTGTGCTAATTACAATTACCTGGTGCGGTTCATAACAAAACCTGTCTTGACGAGGAGCAAGCCAGGGGGGTAGTTCAAAGGCTGTTCCCGTTCATCCTCGCTGCCTCCAATCATATTCTCTGCGCGTGGTAATTAGTTTCCAATGATGCTGGCTGAAGACAAATGAAAATCATGCAACCCTGTTGAGGCGCCCTATCACATTCCTTGCGCGTGAGTTCTAATTACTGTCAAGTGATACTAGCTGGGGATAAACGGAAATCGGGCAAGACTGTTGCGGCGGCATTAGTAAACGCACCAAAATATGCCTGCGATGGGAATATACAGAAGATGACTTAACGCGTGGAAAATGCCGGAATTTATTATTAATAATCATTCACAAACTGACATGAACCAAATCCTTAGAATAATTATAAACGGCTTTAGGAGTTTTGACAAATTAAATTTAAACACACATGAAAAAGTGCGAGTTTAGGATATGCCTAACAAGTTGAGTGAATAAAGAAGTTACGAATAAATATAAATATAACAAAGAATTTCAATATAATCCTTCGTGGGCCATGATCTCGACTCCGGACCCGAAAACTCCCGACGACATAAAGCTCCCGTTAGTTATCGGTGGACTGGGATCGCAGAACCGAGGTCAGACTAATTTGCAACGCACGATATTGTGTGGGGCACGCGTAAGTGGAATATTTGGCTTTGTCATTACCGACAGGGAGAGGGGAGGCTGATAGGGGAGGCCATACCGAAACCCAAGGGATGCCCCATCCAAGGCTTGAATCCGATACCTGCCGGGTAGGAGTCCAACACTCTAACCACTTAGGCTCGGGCACGTCTTGTCGATAACGATAGACAAGACGTAGAAAGTAAGGGAAGTAAAGGGTCAGACGATGAATAAATTGGGGGGTTGGCGAGCGAAGGTTCGAAGAACGAGGAGAGAAAACGGGACAAAAAGGTGAAGTTTATGGGGGAGAAGAAAGCGAAAGTGAAGAAATTTTCTGCCACAGAACCGGTTACTATGAAAGTGAGTATCTCAATCGACAGCGGCATAAATGCTCACAAAGTCACTATCAGTATGGAGCAACCACGACGAGGACAGATGAGTTTGAAGTAGTTGACCCGTACGCAGAAGGTTGTTTTCTTAACCGAATGGGACTAGTAGGTCAGAGGAGTGTGGTTGCAAGCGTCGAAACCAAATTATATTAGAGGCATACTGTGATAAATCGTTCACAGGATGCGACCGACTGTTGGCCAAGAAGCAGAGTGAAATAACATTTGACTCTCAGCGGGCTCGAGTATTTGTCTCACAGGATATGTCGAAAGAAGTGATTGTCGACTACAGAAGGTTTCCCCAACTCAGAAGTCAGTAAGACCAATTAGGTTGCAAATTGTACTGTAGGAAAGGAGTTGACGAGGGGCTCTACACAAACAAGTTGCTCACAGTAAACAGGCCACCTAATGTGTGTGTGTGTGTGTGTGCTCTGTGTCTCTGCGCAGGGTAACAGCATCCCGGGGGCGTCCTCCAGCCAAGCAGGAAAAGGTGCACAGATCGTTAGGTCAAAGGCAAGACATCGATCTGAGCTAGAGGCATCGCCCGACCGTGAGGCAGACCATGCGTATGGCTCGACAAGGAGTGAGAGGC